GTTTCACCACATGTACCAGATGTGATGGTAATGACATTAAATTGACTTGAAGTTGAACTTGATCTTGAATTCATTGTTTTAGGTTTATCTGGATTAATTGTTTTGAACAGGTTCATGACAGCAACTCCAGCACAGATTTTAAAATGTCCTTCAAAGCTTTACATTTTAGAGACACATAAAAACTAATGTAAATTCTTGTATGTCGTGTCAGTAAAACCATTTTTAATGTTAGAACTGTCTTTCACAAGTGTCAAAACAGAAAACTGCCAGATCCTTTTGGGTTAAGTTTCATGTGTTAAAGTTGCTGATGGTCCTGAGCTCTCACCTTCACCTTTGTTTTATTCCTTTTCATCCTGGGCCGTGCCGCCTGCTCGGACGTGCAGACAGACAGGTGGCCTGCAGCCCTGAAGGAACAGTGGCAACAAGCAAGCCGAACAACAGAAGAGGTCAAAATATGAGTCAAATAGCTGCCACTGCTCCCCACTCCCCACAAGTATCTCAGTAATCTGATTGTAAAGCCATGAGAGGGTGTGACAAACACAAGGAAAGGCTTGTGTGTATGTATGCATGCTGTGAGACATAATTACAGGGCAGAGAGCCAACTGGCTCGAGCCGGCTATGACTAGATTAGTGTTATTATGCCCATAAAAACACACCTTTCCTGACGTAAATACACCCCGGATCCAACAAAATCATTTAGCATTAGGCCAATTCTTAATAGCTGAAAAACACATTTTACTACCAAAACACATAAAGTGAGAAACAAGCTAAAGTTCTTGAGATCTTTAATTCATACCAAGCTTGCATTTATATTTACACCCTGAACGTGCAGCCATGGCTGTACACTGTGTACGTTTTTTCTCTTTGTCACCATGTGGTGCAAACAGCCAGCCACAACTTCCTGTTCCAAGGAGGCATGCAACGCCTGCATGAATATGAATGAGGCAACCTCAAAGTGACACTCCTGTGTGCTGCAGGTACCAAATGAGGACACGGAAGATCAAACAAGACCATAAACACAAGGCCAAGCATTCCTTGGAGATAAAATTAACAGTATTACGGCTATTAACGTGTTAGCTTAAGTCGATGAGCTGCAGCAGCCATCTTGAATTGTGTTTTCTCCGGACGTAAATCAGTTTTTACCCAGTTTTCATTCGACCTTTATTGTTAGTCTCACTGAGTCACGAGGACTCATTTTCAAGAGAGACCTGTTTTAGACAAACCACAGATAAAACAGTGATTATTTTCCCTGAAAGTATGGTTCAAGAAATATTTTGTCAACAGACAGACGGAGGTGACACAGACCCCACACAGTCAGGGCTCTGAGTAAGTGTTGATAACGTTCAGCTACTGCCACGCCAAATTTTAGCTCAAAATCTATAAAACTGAGTTATATATATATATATCTTTGCCATGGGACTGACTCCAAATGTTTATCATTTTTGTAGACGCACGTTCATTGATTGCTTTCACATATTAGTTTCAATAAAATCTACATCATTCATAAGATATTTTGCTAACACTTCAAGCGTGCCCACACTCAGCCATGAGCAAACATATTATTGCCCTTTTTGCTTTTGGCGGTGGGCAGTAAACAAGTCTGTCCTCAGTGCTAAGGTTGTGTTTTTACCGTACGGTTTAAGATGTGGAGTAACAAGGTCAGGTTTGTCGTGAAGGAAAACAAAATGTTGAGACTGAGGTTGTTTTCACTGTAAAGCAGCTTAAGATCTCCTGGTCCTTGTTTCACCCTGGTCTGTGTTGGAGGTAAAATTCAGAAATAATTTGGTTTTATTGTCTGAGACATGGGTGGCACGGTGGTTTAGATGGTAGAGCTGTTGCCTCTCAGCGAGAAGGTCGCCAGATCAAATCCTAGGGGCCTTTGTGGGTGGAGCTTGCATGTTCTCTGTGCATGTGTGGATTTTCTTCAAAATTTAGATCAAAAACATGTGCTAGGCTGATTGGTTGGTAACTCTAAATTGTCCCTCGGTGTGAGTGACAGTGAATGTTGGTTTGTCTCGTTTGTTTCTATGTGTCCCTGTGTTGGACTGAGACCTGTCCAGGGTGTCCCCCGCCTCTCGCACAGTGACTACTGGATATGGGCACCAGTGACTCCCGCCACCCGTAAAGGAAGAAGCGAGCAAAGATGATGGATGGATGTCTGAGACACCTCTGCGAGCTGTTTTATTTTGTCTGGTGCGTTTGTCCTCGCACACACTGCTGTAATTTTTAGCACCTCTGGTCCAGGCCAGCGTGGTTCGGTCCTCGACCACCCGTTAGGGCGTCACATTATTCACCTTGTCACTCAGTTCTCCATATGACACGCGCATGACACATTATATTCACCTACCGCTGATGTCATGACAGATGGACCGAAGAGAACGGTTTCAGCTGAGTCACAGCCCATTTTCATGTGTCCCAGTCTCCATGAGGAAAATGAATACAGATAAAACCCAGACTGGTTTTAAAGCCGAAGCGTTAACAGGCTCTGGTATCACTGAACTTCTACCCACTTCAGGAAGAGGACGCTCAAATAAATGCACTTTCCGGACAAGTTCTATATTTATCGGTGGTGTTAGAAACTGAAGATCATTCCTACTCTGTGACACCGTGAGGCATCCCCTTCAGGCAAATGACAAATTATTCCAAGCTATTTATATACAATATGGAAGGAAAAGTCATACCCTCACGTGCCTTTGCTTTATGTGGTTCTGATCTACTGCTAATAGACTAAATCTCGTGGTTAGTCAATGACCTACTCAAGGATCTACTTGAGGCAGACAGGACAGCTATTTTAGGGCTACAGTGTTTGGAAACACCCAGGAGAGAAGTATAGTAGGGCTTAGACTGAAAACTTCCTACTAATACAAATGCAACCAATTGTCTTACCTTGAAATAAATTCATGCTCAAAATAATAATAAAAAATAAGAAATGATACAGTAACTGGATCACATTGCAAGTCTGGCAGGTAAGTAGCTCTAAAATCTGCAATGGCCTACTTTCTTAAGCTCATCACCTTCATTATTGGTGGTCCCCCAAAAACCCTTGGAACATGAAAACAAAGAGTTGGTAAAATACATGACTGGTTATATCTAAAGTTACTTGTTGCAAAGTATGAAATCAATAATTAAATAAAAGGTTATTCTGAACTATATCAAATGGAGCAGTTCGAACGCGTTCATGCCAGTAATTTTCCAGATGTGGGTATGCACTCAATGTAAACAACAGCCGAGTCTGTCAAAACCCACACAGGAAGCTTGAGTGATGTGATTGCGCTACGTCGGCTGTAGTCTGTTCAAATATGGTGGAATCACACGAGCTTAAAATCTCAGAGAAGACGTTTGGGTGAAAGTATAAAAATTAATCTGCTGTTAAATGTGACTGAAAAGACAAAGATAAATTGGAGCAGCCAAAGATAAATATTGTGGATGAAACAGGGTGGTGCGGTGCCTACAAGACAAAGCTCAGCCTTTAAACGTGCAATTTTTGTAAAACTTCTGCTGGAATGGAACCGTTTGTTGTTTCATCGTTAATTGTTTAATCACTATAAAGATTTCTAAAACAAGTTTAAAAAGATGATTAAGTGAAAGTTGTATGGTGCCAAGTGAAGGATTTTTGTTTTCACTTTGGAGATGTTCAAGCCTAAGTTGTTTGTTTAGTTATTTTATTTATATATATTTTAAATAAGGGGTAGATATAAGAATTTTTTCTTCTTTCTTCACCCTTTTCAATGTTTTTCTTTTTGATGAATTTGTTATTTTTCTTTTACATGAATGAATTAAAAAAAATTGTTGGACTTCTTCCCATCTGGCTCTTCTGTGGACGTCACTGTTATCTATTTTCAGTCACTTCAGCAGTTTCCATGCAACTTTGAATTTAATGACACATCGATATATATATATATATTTACCATAACGTGATTTCACGTGTCCCTTCTTAAGACAAATCATTCACATATAGATGTAAGGACCACACTTTTTGTGTATCACTTCGTCTGAATCTGTTTTTGGCTTCATTATAACACACCAACTTTATTTATAGAGCACTTTAAACACCTACAGGATCAATGTGCTGTACACACAACAAAACAGACAACTTATTATCCTGTTTTGCACATAAAGACAATAAATGAGCATCAACTGTCCAGTAATGTACATCTTTCTCAACCAATAAAAAATAAATTTGTAAGTCAAACCAAAAATGTTAAAAGATAAACATACCTCCCAGGCAATCAGCTCTCTGAATTTTGTGTATAAAAAAAGTGACAGTATTTTGAATAGGTAAAAACGACATTTTATGTATAAATGTTATTTATGCCAAAAAATATAAGGTTATTTAACAATAGACTGCATGATCCCACCTGAATTTTCTGCAAAATATTTCAAAATAACCCAACCACCCTGGACATTCACTCCTCTCCTTGTCTATTATCTGCCTGAACTGAGCATTACTAAAAAAAATAAAAAAAAGGGATCTGGATTTGCATTGAAGTAATTCTTCCATCTATAACGATATTACATTTTTTGTTCTTTAATCCTTTTCCTTTAATTTCTTGTGTGCCCTTATTTGGATGCAGAAACACCAAATTTTACTGCATTATACTACCTATGAAAGCTTCATCTTCCCAAAATAAAAAATAAAAACTTAAATATTGTGATGAGTCTAATGTATTGTCAGAAACTCACGACTGTTTATTAAGTGATATTTTGAGTCAACCAGTTTCATGTTACACACATTGGTCAGAATAACGAACACAAAGACGTTGGATTGACTGCACGTTAACAGCAAATGGTTTTATTGGTAGAAGACAACTGGCAGTCAAATGGTCCAGTACAAGTCAATGGTTTAACAGAACACATCAAGGTAATGAGTTCAACGATCAATTTGCAGGAGAAAAACCAAAAAACACTTTTTGTATAAAAACATTAAAAAAAACAAAAAAGGCATCATGACACGATAATTTAACATTGCTTCTATTTACACACACACAAAAAAAAGTACAGGTCAAAAAAAAAAAAAAAGAATCAGTTATTTACAAAGTCTGTACAGGTGTGAAGACTTGATGCTGAAAAAAAAAAAAAATACAATTAAAAATCACCAAGGTCAGACAGGTTTCTGCATTTTGCACATGTAAAAAAAATTATGACACCCAAAAACGCTGGTCTGAAAATCTTTACCTATAAACGATTGAGCAGGTTGTTCTGAATGTCCTCATACACCTGGTTGTAGATCTCCTCTTTGGTTTTCAACCCATCAAGGTACTCTGCAACGCACCAGAAGAAAACCAGTTTATCAGCTGTCCTGAACCATCACACCAAACGCCGAGGGAAGTTTTATGCACAAAAACCAGCAGCAAACGCACCTATACTTAAGCAGCAGTCCTCCATTTCTTTCCTGTGCTTCAGGTACATGGGCCAAACATGGCCATCGAACAGGCCGGGAGGGTCAGGGACAGTGTACTGTCTCGTACTAAAAAAAAAAGGACAGTAATAATCATTTTATATTCTTCCAAAGCAGAAATACTGGGAAACAACGAATGCAAATATGCACAATTAAACCGTTAGCTCACCTTCTTCTTCTTTTGCTCTCTTCATACGGAACTGCAATGTAGTAGCACTTATCAAAGACCTCCAGCAGGGGCCTAAAGGAGAGAAAGGGTTACGAAACAAGTCACATACTGGTAGCATCAATGCCAAAACGGTAGTTACACAACTGCTCATACTAGCCCTTATCTATATCCCTACAGCATATTCGACACTCGTCACAAGTACAGCGCACAGACCACCCTGTCTCCACTCTGAAGGTCCACTTGGGGAGCCTCTTTCTGTCGAAGCTCTTATCTCTTCAGCTCATGAGCTGCTCAAATCTGCTAGCTGTTCATGAACATGTGTGAGCGTGTAAAACCAGCCTGTGACTGGACGACCTTAATGACACCCATCTAATGGAGTACTTAAATCTAGCTGTACTCCACCTGAATAAAACAAGTTCCTACATAACCTGCTCACACATATATATATTGGTATGTTCATAAGAAGTGTAAACTTTTCTGCTTTGGCTCAAGTGAAACTAAAAGAGCAGCAATTTAATGACATTAAAATACATCTTACAGGTAGTTGTAGAGCAGAAAGCCCTCCACAATCAGGATGTGGCTCTGCTCATCGGGCTTGGCCATGTCAGGGGCAGGCGATAGAGTGACGCCGTGGGAGCGAGCGAACTTTACAGGGTTCTCGATCCAGCCTCTTATCGTGTTGGTCATGGCCTCCATGTCCAAAGCTGTGATCACTGTGGGCAACGAGTGAGAGAAATAATGGAAAGAAACAACAAAAGATCAGAACAAACAAAAACGAAAGCTGTAATTTATTAGGAAAGTGTTTGTTGTTTGAAAGTTACTGTAAATAAAATAGTGGGAACGTTTTAGCCACTATGTATGCAACTGAAGAGGATGTGGTCAACTTTATGAAAAAGGGATGAGTATGTAAATATTAAGATAAACAATGAGTCACTGGCAGTCTTCAGTGAAGTCTTACCATCCCACTGCCTAAAGCCGTCCTCCCCGACTTCTATTTGATCGGGTTTCTGAAATAACAGTCACCAATAAAACATTGCTGCAACCTCACAGCTCTGAACACTTGCAGATCTCACTCACATGCCAAAGTAGTGAGGCCAAACAAGTGGGATAGAGAGGAAGTTAATGGGTCAAATCAAAAGCAAGGGCAAGTGTGCAAATTAATGCAACTAAAAAGATAGAGCTGGGGTAAGTAAGGGACTTGAGAAGTGCAGAAAAAAAGACAGATAGATAAAAGTAAAGTCTGTTAGTTAGGGAGAAGAATATACATAGTATATTCCCAGGATAAGCTGGGGGATGGGACGGGGAATCATGCAACAACAAAAAAGAAAGTGCTATGGAAATGGGAGAATACAAAAGCGTAGAGGGAGGAAGGCTACTCAAAGCAGGACCTCCTACTTTGCTCACATAAAAAAAACACAAGCAGCGCACACGAAAAGAAAAAAACAAATGAAGCTAAAACATAACATTTATTAACATCCCGCTTTCTAATAAAAATATAATAAACTCACCTTGAAAAAGTCATCTTGGTGCACAACACAGCAGTTGGGCAAAGTCTTGATCAGTTTATTTGTCAAAGTGGTTTTACCACCATTTGTGACTCTGTAAAAGAAGAAAAAGGGATAAAATGTTTATTATTGCATGTGGATTAAACAACCCTGACAGGAAACAACAAGTTGTTAACTACCCTTTAGATTCAGCTTGTAGTTTGCTATGCAAATCATGATAATCCAATATCCATACATATAACATGCAGTCATGTCTTCCTGCTTACAGATGTATTTATGATAAAGAACGATGTAAAGTAAGTAAATGTATGAATTAAGCAACATTGTGGGTGTAAAAAAGTAGATCTCCCTCCACTTTTGAACCGACTCAGGCGGTGAAAATTTAAAAGTCCCGCTCGATTTATGACAACAAAACAGACCGGAAGTGGATTTAAAGACGTTTCTGGCGGGCGGCTGATAATCCCCACTCAGATTAGCACATTATCTGTCACTTACAAGTTTAGAAATCTAATCTAATAGACAGTTTATTCATACAAACCTGCATTTTGGCTAACAATAACCTAACACCGGACTGTTTTTTTAATTTTAAAAAGTACTATTTAAAGTCCAGTGAGCTGAGTTAGTTTCAAACGGACTAAACTACACTTTTGATATTTGTGATATACACGCACAGAAATAAAAATATTACTTTCTATTTAAAAAAAACAAACATATTCACATACCCGCCAATTCCTATAATGTACTTCATCTTCTTTTCTTCTCTCGTCAACGCCAGCTGAAGAAAATATGGATGAACTTCTGAGACAAAAACTCAGTTAAAACCTTAAAAAGAGGCTCAAACTCGCAGTCTCAATTAGATTCTCTGCTCTGAATCAATCCGCGAGGCTCTTCGGTTTATATCCAGCGTGCGTTCTCTTACGTCATGGCACACGCCGGCACGGGGCGTTCTCGTGGTCTGACGTGCTCGTGCATATTTTCCTTCGAGCTACGTACCCATTCCCGGGCAGCCAATCAGATTCCGCAGGGCTCTCCGCCAACAGCCAATCACATCGCGAGAAGCATTTCACACATTTCCGTGTTCCCTGCACCTGCTGATGTCTGTCAGCAGCACAGGACCGTACTCTTCCTTTCAGGCCTTCAGAATAGCAGCTGTGGAAAACTTCCATTGATGGTGTCGGATAGATGCATCAAAATAACTGCTATTTCACAGAATTAAATTATAATTAGAGGAATACAAGTGGATTAAAAATATGTATAAATCCGTATGAAAGTGCATAAATGTTTTAGAGCACAGATTAATACCACCCAGATATCTTTTTTGGGATAAAAGTACAAAAATAGGCCAACTTTCAAATTTTTTTTCCTATTCTGAGTTTCTTCTTTTTTTTTAATCCAAGCTACATGCTTTGTGCTATTTTAATAATTATTTTATCAATTTTTATTAGCTTTTTAGTATTACTTTTTGAATGATTTAACTTTATTTAGAAAAAAAACCATACAAATACATGCAGATTTGTCAATTGTTCAGTAATAATAATAATAATAACAATAATTTGTTAAATTGAGTTTTGTGGTATTTTGACAGTAGCCCAGATGAATATGCATTTTCTTTAAATCACTTTCACAAGTCAAAGACATACAGTATAGAAGCCATGTAAACAAAGCTGTACATTTGTTGTGTGAAGTATCAGCACTTAATTTAAAAAAGTAAAATCTGATCTCTGGACATTCAAAAGTCAAAACCAAGCAAAACAAACAAAAAAAAAAATGTAGAAACATTTCATCTTTCATCCGAAAGACTTCCTCAGTCTGAGGTGCTGTATTCAATACAGCTCTTCTCAGTTCCATTTCATTCCATTCAGATCATTTGTTGCAAATTATCTTATGATCAGTGTGAAGCTGATTTTAGTTACTTTGTGTAAATTCAAAAAAGTTCAAGACAAAAACAACTGGACTTTATTTGTAACAGAAGACGTTTCGCTTCTCATCTGAGGAGCTAAACCACTAAACAGAAAAAGGAGAACAACAGAAGGAAAAACATTATGTGGATGGAGTATCTGAGAAACTCTGAAGGATTTTTTCTTTCCAAACACAACATCCCAGTGCATTTCAAACCCAACAGGACTTCCCACTGACATGTTGTTCAGCTTACCCACAGAAACAGGAAGCTGTGATCATCATGCTTATGATGAAGAGTGGAAGCAAGGAATGCAGCAGGTTTACACCACTGCACAAAAATCTGCCCAAAGAAATAAAAGGATCCATGACACTAAAGTAAGGAGCTCAGTGTTGTTTCCAGGTGACCGGGTGCTAGTGAGGAACTTGACTCCTCGTGGTGGTCCTGGTAAGCTTAGAAATTACTGGGAGGACACCATACAGACTGTGGTTCGACAAGTGGGAAAAGATGTCCCTGTGTATGAGCTAAGACCTGAACATGGAAAAGGAAGATCTAAGACACTCCACAGGAATCACATCTTGCCTTGTGATCACTTGCCACTGGAAACTAGGACAAATGCACCTGTAAGACCTAAAAGGAAAACAACAGAAAAAAAGGAAGCAAGAGGGGAATCAGAGGATGATGAGGATGAGGATGATTATCATTTCATGGACCCATCATTTCACTCATCAACTTCGCCAATGACGTCAGTGGATGAAACACTTGTAACTGCACCATGCAGTCGAATCTGGACAAATGGCACATGCATTGGACGCTCATCCTCTTGAGTGTGATTACAGTCAGCAGTCAGGCGACCAGGACATTCAGCCTGAAAATGCACCTGATACTGGAGCAGGCACACAAATGACCGCTCTCTGAATGTGAAAGGAAAGACCACAGAGACTACGTCGGCCCCCAAAGACATTAAGATATTACAATATTGGTTTCCCATCATGTTACAGTCTTGCTGCACTGCTCTCTTATGTAAGGCCTCCAACTTGGATGTATCCTGTGCAGCCCTGCAACCAGCATCTTTATTTATATGGACAGTTTTAAAAAAGTACCCATATTGATGTTTGAGGCACCTGGATGGATATGTTATAACATTTAATATTTGATCCATAAAAAATATGGTGAACAGTTCAGATAGGTTCAAACATAACTGACCTTTATGTATTTCAAGTGACAAAATGTGACTGCAAATATTGTATTCAACCTTTATTGAATGGTTATCGCGAGTCTCAGTCTGTAAGAAATATTTCCAAGTATTTTTTGTTTTGTCTTGATTTAGGAGTATCATATAATGTTGAGGACAACATTTTTCTTGGAGAGGGAGTGTGTCATGGATAGAACTATACGCTGCATATATTGCTCTGTGATCAGCTGCTTAGGATTGATGATCGTTGTTCTGTGCTTGATGGTCGAAGCAGATGGCCGCTTGTCCTGAGCCTGGTTCTGCTAAAGACTTCTTCCTCATGAGGGAGTTTTTCCTTTCCACTGTCGCCTTCATGCTTGCTCAAGATGAGAGTTCTGCATGGAGTTAAACTCAAAGCAGTCTGCTAATGTTAAATTATTATTTTTAAATATGAACGTTTCTGTTAACTTATTTTATATATGAATATTTCTGTTTACAGCACTGACACGACTTCTGTTGTGACTTGGCTCTATACAACTAAACTGAATTGATGGGTAATGCCCCATATGTCCAGGAGGGGGCGCACCCGGTCATTTTCTCCATACTTTAAGTCACATGTGTCAAACTCAAGGCCCACGGGCCAGATGTGGCCTGCCACGTCATTTTATGTGGCCCGCGAGAGCTTAAAAAGGTCTGATTGTCGTATAATAAGTCAAAAGGGTTTTATATTATAACTGAGAAACAAGCAGACATGTTTTTCTACATCCATGCAAATACATATGCAAAGCAAATATATATGTAATACCTGCAAAGCAATATATATATGCAATATATATGCAAAGCAAATATATATGCAAAGCAAATATATATGTAGTATCTGAAAGTTGAATAAGTAAAAAAAAATCAGTTATTTACCAGTAAGGAGTAGCTGCATTTATTTTACATTACTGTACATCGAGTTAAATTTAGCTACATTTATACTGTCCAACAGTTACATCTGGCCCTTTGAGGGCAACCAATAAGCTAATGTGGCCCTCGGTGGAAATTAGTTTGACACCCCTGCTGTAAGTGAAGGCAACATTGGGTATATGATTATTACTTTGCTAAATATATCTATCTCAGTTTTACTGATTCATAATGTTAACTTATCACACTCTTTGTTGCGTTTGTGTCCAGGACATGAAGTGGCAGGTGTATTTGCTAGCTTCTTAGCTGCAGGACCTCGTGCACAGCTCGCATGGTTAGCTGAACTTCTGTCACGTGTTTGGCATTAACCAGCTGTGTTTGTATGTTAACTGTGGTGCATGCGTTTTGTTATTATTTTATTGTTTTTATTAGGCTTGTCACGATAAACAATAAATCAATTAATCACATAAACTAAAACAAACTAAAAATAAACAAAAATGATCAACTTCATTTTAATGTATCGTGTTAATCATTTCTTCGTGTCTCTCACTTTCTACTGAAGACACTGGATGACAAAAGGCTCAACTCAGGTACTTTTCACTGACCCCTCCCTTTCTCTTTTATTTAAAATATGTTTTAACAATCCAAAATCACGTTTTTGGATTGTTAAAAGCAGCTAAACTGAGAAGCTAAGCTACGAGCTAAGCTAACAGGCCGAAAAAAAAAACCTTTGTTTGGTCAAAGCCCCAAAATTCATGGTTGAAACAAATGCCTTCGTGTAAAAAGTTTTTTTTTCTCTGCAAAAAGAAGCTGAGAACTTGCTTATTGATTATTTTAAATTAAAAACTTTGTGTGGCAAATGCTATGCTAAAGAGCTCAAACCAAACCGAACGTCCGCCATTTTAAGAACCAAAACCAGGAACAAGAGACAGCCCATGTCAAGGGGTCTCCCTCCCATTTTTCTTAGACACGCTGTTCGCTCCCTCACTATCCATCATTCAGTTCAAACAGTCTTATACTGCCATACAGTGGTCAAAAAAGCACTACACAAAAATTCATCAACATTTCTTCTTGAATTTGACAATAATTACTAAATATTGTCAAATGTCAAACAATATTATCATTTATCGCAATAATTTCTGAGACAATTAATCGCCCAGCAAAATTTGTTATCGTGACAGGCCTAGTTTTCATTTACTGAGGGTGTTAATATTAATTCCTGTTTCACAGGGACTGGGATGTAAATCTTTTATCAGTAATAGTCATAGACTTAGACAATACTAAGTAGTTCATGTGTTAATAGAAGAGCGAAAAGTGTGAAGTAACTCACTGACTAAAAGTTTTAAAAAGTGAATAAATTAAACAAGTACAATTCTGTTTTGAAAGATTGTTTAATAAATATTGGTTGTAATTGACCAGGTAATTCAGAGTAAAAGGTCAAATGTTATGAAAACGTCTCTCCAAAAGGTTAAAGGTGAAGTTCAGTTAAGACGGATTGTTCTGATAAGCATTTATATGTTAAAGGTGCTGTACTGTTGTGAGAATTGTTTATTTTCATTTAATACATTCTACATACTGTAAGTGAAGGAAACCCAGTGTCCGTGTCGTTTCTCACTTTTCTTCCCCTTCTTAAGGGTATTACATATGCACCTTTGCAAGCTTTGTGTGTACATGGAGGGGTCAGAGGTCAGATGATTCTGTTACATGTGGGAGAAAGGTGCAGTTGGTGTATCGTGACGATTCTCTGGTTGTGATATTAGAAGATCCCTCTTGTGCGTGAAAAGAAACATTTCATGATCATCTTATTTGCTCTGTCCCACAGAGAAGGTCTTCCTCTGAAGTGTTGAACACCGATACTTCCTCTTCGGAGTACATTTACAGCAAGGACAAATCATAAATATGGATACTTCTAATTATTCTATATACTTTTGAGAAGTCCACATTTTCACTCGTGTCAATCAGCTCAAACAGATGTCTTTTTTTTTTTTAAGCACCTGAATTATAAATGAAAACATTTCAGATTTTTAGTGGAATTTATTCTGACATTTACAGCCAGTTACTAGAACATGAACAGCAGAAATGCATATGTGAAACATTGGGCAGCTAACAAACTAAAAGCATCTGATACTGATGTGCTTTTACAGTCAAAAAGTTCAACATAGCTGGTCATAAAATAAACATATATAAAAAGATCAGCTTTTCATTCTGTCTATTTCACTTTGGATTCAAACTATAGGCACTCAGTTCAACCAGCAACCCACAAAGAGATTCATAAAGTCACTCCATCAAAGTTGAGCAACACAAAATCATTTGATTTCACCAAAGACACTCAAAAGAACCAGGAAATAAAAAAAGAAAGTTTGAACCATTAATCCAGCAGCCCCCCTTCAGAAAGGCAACAGAAACCCAGAAAGCAGCCAGCATTTTAAAAACTACCTCATCTGTCATGCATCTCTAACTCACTACAAGCTGCAGAAATGCATGAAATACAAATTAAGTTCTTGAACATTTTTTTTACTTCAATCAAAAAGAGCAAACTGATATGAAGAGGTGTTACAGCTCTGCTAACAGATGGATAAAGT